ACTACATGACTTTTGTTATCACCGTAACTTTTTAAACAGATCTCCCAATCGCAGCAGATTTGTTCAACCAACCTGGATGTGGTCCAGTCTACAGATCCAACAGCAGGTGGTCTAAAGCAGGTTTCATGTTCTTATCTCAGGATTCAGTTGTTCAAACGTCACAAATATGGACGAGTATTGTAACACCAGTTTAGAGGAATATATGACAGGTTTCACTTTGATTTTAACTTAAATAGATAACATCATGGGCAACATTGTTCCAAAATGATCCAAGATCCCCGAACAGTTGGGTCTTGAACTTTAGAATGTGACACTTGACGAGGTTCATGGTACATTAGATCGATCAGGGTCGCGGTATTGATGTCGTTGAATCTAAACGTTAAAACTGATTTTGAATGTGTAAATCTTACAGCCGAGAGGCTCGAGTATATCTGCTTTAATATTGTGAGGTGTTTTTAAAGAGTTAGTTTCAATAGGAAAAACAGGGATTGGTTTGTGGTCTTTATGCTCAGAGTAAATAAAAAATAATGTGATATAATAACCCAGCGGCACCGATACGATCGAAGGAATGCATGAAATCTCCGTTTACCGGGCTGGTGCTGCCTTTGGCGGAGTGTCGCCGTCGGTCGGTTCCCGTGGAGAGCGCAGCGGAGCCTGCAGGGACCCGCCGCCGCCGCTCGGTGTGTGTTTGTGCGTTTCTCTCCGCGGCGGTTACACACGTTACACACGGGATTAGCTGATTAACGCTCCGGTACCGGGGAGTTGGATGTGTGTTTTGCCTCACAGGAGTCACCTGGAGTCCGGGCGGAGAGACGGAGCCGATGGCGCAACGGGTGCGTAAAAATCAACTTTTATTGGAGCGCAGGGACTCGATGAGCGCGAGGAGACGGTTCGTCCTCAGCTGCGCGATTTTTATGTTCAGAAGTCCAATAAACTGAGTCTGGATTTGTGGAACCACTTGTCCTCAAAACGACACAAAAACGAGAGGATTTAAACTCTCATGAATATGAACACTGTTTTCTTCCAGCGGATTAATATTTACTAACTTCAGGAACTAGTAACTTTCTCTCGTGCGTAAAAAATAATCCATGAAACTTTTTCACTTTATTAAAGTTTAATTTCTTTAAAAATAACAACAACATTTTTACCATAAATTAGCTTTAATATTAACAGATTGATCTCAAACGCGTCCACACAGCACTTTTCTAAAAGTAAAAGTTCAGATTTAGTGAATAATAAAGACATTAAAGGAGCTTTAATTAAAGGACATTCACTTTAAAAATAAAAGTCGGCTGCAGGTGATTATTAATAATAATCTTTTAGTGATTTCAATCATTTAAATTCTGATGATAAAATCTGCTGATTTGAAGTTTCAGATTTATTTCTTCATTTTTTAACTTTAACTTGAGGCCTTAAAGTTGTTGCTGCTTTTTCGTTGATTTATGGCAAAAAAATAAAAGTTAAAAAGTGTGAAGATGAACCAAAAAAACCAACAAAAGCTGTGCGTGTTTGGGTGCACTGTGTGTGAAGTGTAGCAGCCGGGTTGGGCCTGCAGTGGCTGCGGGACTCTTTATAAACTCACATCATCTGTTTGTTAGCGGCTCTTTCACAATAAAAAACGTTTCATTTTGTTTTTTCACGGCTGTTAAAATCTGTCCAACCTGAACTGAACGGTGAGATCCGTTAAAGGACTCAACAAACAGAAATAAAACATTCATACTGAAACATTTCCCTCACAGTGCAGGCCGGCGGACTGTGTATCGATTACTGATCAGAAAATGTACTTCACGAGCTTCTTTTGAACTTCAAAACTCTTTATAACATAAATGTGTGACACATTATATAACTTGTTTTCGGTCGTAGTGCAGCTGCTGCAGCATGTTCAATTAATGACGATAAATAAAATAGATCAAAAAAAGAAATCAGCAGCACCGATACATTTATAGTAAGCGAAGAAAAAATACTAATATACATTCTTGTTATTTAAATAGAAATATAACAGATTTATGGACTTATTAATGTATGTGCAAGTTTAAAAAGTTTAAACCAATTTTAAAAATCATCATTAAATAAAGATTAAATAAATAAATCAGGTTCTTTATAAAACTAAAACCATGTTTTGGATTTATAAATTACACCAGTTAGTTTTTACACTTTATATTCTTATTGCTCTGGAGATGTAAAAACAAGTTTTTGTTAAACTTTTACTTGTATTTTTCAAATTGGATGAAACTGAAGCAGCTACAGGTGAACATAAAGACCCCCCCCCCCCCC